TCTCTCTCTCTCTCTCTCTCTCTCTCTCTCTCTCTCTCTCTCTCTCTGTGTGTGTGTGTGTTTCCTGGTAACCACCCATCTGCCTCCAGAATTAACTGATCCCCTCTTTGAATTCCCATAATACATGTAACATTTTGCCACTATTATAGCTACAGTGACATATTTTTTACTCACGGTATTGGCACAAACAGCCAAATAGTGGGATACGGTATTTTAAATAGAACAGAGAATTTGAAATTATTTTTATGCCTAATCTCTGAAGTTTTCAACCAAGCTAAAAATAATGCTTATTATATCAAGAGATACAGAACTGAGTTTATAATATAAAAAGTTCTCCAAACCTTCCCAGGGCAACAAAAACTTCCTATTCCATCTCCTTAGACTAATTCAAATTTCTGGAACCAATTACTAAGATAAAATAAACATTTTTTTTATCAGGTAATGCAAAAGTCTATGTCTGATACAAGATCTGTTTTACCTCACCAGAGATACGTTTGCTTGCTTCTCCTGTGTTCGTGTGAAAAACCACAATTTTGAAATGCATATTTAAACATTCACAAACCCATATAATTTCTTTATATCTTGCTTTTGTTACTGAGTGACTTATTTTGGAGATTTACTTTATATATAAACAAGAAGATGTCTCATTCTTTTGGGGTGTTGGGTGTTTCATCACTATTAACTGTGCTAGCATTTACTTAGTTATTGGAAATTTAGTGGGCTACTTATTTTGCTTTTTAAGTAATTCCTCAGTGCGTGTGTGTGAGAGCATAATTTTTAGTGTATAGGAATAGCGGAGGCTGACCTATTAAAACAGGAATTGTTGGTGTGCACATTTTTATATTTAATGAATATAGTCAACTGTTCTTCATAAAGCACATGTGAATGATGCTCCCAGTGCAAACATATTTGATGATTCCAAGTGCTACTGATTCTTTATGATTTGCCACTCTGTTATTTAAGAAGTAGTATCTCTTGATAGTTTTAATTTGCATATCTCATTATAACAAGACAGAATCTTTCTTCTTGCAGTTACGGCTAATCATGCTTCCTGTGAAGTTTCTTTTCATGATGCATTAAAAAAAACCAATCAAATTTGTCCATTTTTTTCCCTTTATGGTCTGTGGAATTGGTTACTGTAAAGTAATTTTCAAAGATATAACTCAAACTTCAAAATTTGTATTATCTGGTCAAAATTACTAATTTCATTTTAATTATTGCCTTCAAAAATTGGGATTAGTCTAGGGAGATGGAATGGGGAGTCTCCTGCTGATCTGGTAAGGTGTTTTATTTTTTTTATATCAGTATTTTCTCTGTATACTAGAATTTTATTCTGACTTGAATATTATTTATTCTTGATATCTTCCTCAAGGGAACTAGCTTTAACTATTTTTCAAATCTATGGTGTTCTTTTCTGTACATCTCCCTTCAGTGTAATTATCTTTATTACTATGATGGTGCTAGAACCCAGGACCATATGCATTCTAAGCAAGAACTCCACCACCGAGCAACATCTCTAGACTCCTTTTGCAGTGTTTCTGGTCCACGGTAAGCTTTTAGTACGACCTTTTATTTATGATCATTTTCTCTAGAATTCTCTTCTGAGTGCTAAGAGTTGATGATTCCTCTCTCTCCATCCTCTGAACCAGTGTTACTAAGGAAATGTCTCCTTTGCTGTGTTCATGGATTAAGCCAGCACTATTGTTAGATGATGTTTACGTTAACATTTGATTACAATTCTCATCTACCATCACACGTTTCACAAATATATTTTCCTTGTGCTGCCTCCCATTTGGTGATTTTTGTTTGTTCTTTAAGTAGCAAATGTGATGTTTTGTCGACTTCCCTTGGTAATTTATTCATTTGTTATTTTGAGTTTGGGTCTCACTATACAGCTCTGGCTGTCCTGAAACTGACTATGTAGACCTAGATGGCTTTGAACTCCCAGTGAACTGCCTCTGCTGAGGTTAAAGGCATGCACTAATACTGCCCAATGTTCCTTCATAACTTTTATATGAAGTTTTCCATAGAGTAGTGTTATATTCATAGGAATGAGATATGAAAGCAGTTCCTAACAGGAGTGGTGATGTCCCTGGCTCACTGCAAGTTTTCGTGATACTTTGTCCTGTGGTTTGGACTTTCTCAGTTCAGAGCGTATCAAGCAGTGTGGCTGCTTCTAACTTGGCGCCCCCTACCCAACAACATGATTGCCTTTTCCTTATGATGTCACTGAAAGTCCAGAGATGGTTTCTTCACTAATCCTTTGTCTATCCCAATAGTTACAGGGGATGGGGGTCAGCTACATCCACCTCCAGGGTAGGAAATCTGCCATCAAAATTGCACTCTACCGTACCTAGTTCTGAAACCATGGCAGTCCTTGATATTTTCCTGAAATCTGACTTTAAGCTCTAGGCAGTTCTTCCTCACACGGGATGCCTAGTTGTTATTCTCCCCATTTTAGAGAAGCAAAAATGAAAGCTCAGCAAAATTAAACTGAGTCATCAAGGGCACTTGATTAGCAAGGGCTGAAGCTGAGATTTAACGGTGAGTTAATAGCTACCCCACAGGGTTCTTAGCTCCATGCCACGTAGCTTTGTGGTTATTTTTTACACTGCACTGCAGTTTGTTCTCCGATATTGGTGTGACTCTCTCCTACCCACGAGATGATACATCTTCGGAGCAATTAAACGATGTTTTCTATTCCTAGACTCCAGAGTCTATCCTTGATCAGTACAGCCTAGGTGTCTGTCATGGGGTGAAATGGGGAGACTGTGTGGACGTCATCAAGTCGCCTTGTCTAAGACACCAATAAAGAATTGCGGGAAAAGTGACCCCCCTACCGAGTCCTTTCTGAGCTTTGCTTTTGTTTCCAAACATCCTGAAAGCTCGGCTATGTCTTTGCACCTGTTTTCTGCTTGCCAGGCCTGGGGAGTTATCACATAGAGATCTTACATTTAGGTTTTGTTGGGCCAGATCTACTGACTTTCTTCTGAAATTCTGACTGTGTCTCTGTAGCACTATTTGGTTACCACGCCAGGTAGAATTGGTCTGGTGAGCTTTGGAATGCACTAATGAATGCTACTACATGGACAGGCTGCTCCTTGGTGTGTGGGCAAGGGAGAATTCAGACCTTTTAAGAAGGAATAGCAGAGGGAAAGAGAAAGGTGTCAGCTGACTAAATTCTTTGCTTAAAATATTAAAACAACAAATAAGCACCTAGATTTATATTTGTTATATTTGTGGTTTTTCCATCCTTATTCCAGCCCTGTAAAAAGACCTAGTCCCAAACAGAAGCAACTCCCTAAGTTACCCAGAATTGGAGAGGGAAGTTTATGTTTATCTGGAGAACTATCACGATTTCCTTGATATGGGCCCATTCTTAAGGAAACAAACGAACCAAATCAAAACTTGAAGCCCAAATAAAACATTAGTGTTTGAAACATTTATAGAGAATTGAAAAAAATACCCGTGGCCTCTTCAACATCATTTACCTTTGACATATTTTTTACTTCATATTCCATTCCAGGCCCTGTTCATACATAGATCAATTTTAAGAAGGCGGAGACAAGATGGCATTCTTTAAAGTCATCTTTATTTACTTTATATCACAAACTCTTATTTTCCTTCCTAAGAGGTACGTATGTGAACTACTGTCAACCGGAGAAGGGCTGGGAGACTAAGCAGCGGCAAAGGGGGAAGAATCTGGAGGAGGAAACCGAAGGAAGTAGCTGAACAGCGGCACCGGGCTCCACGGACACCGGCGACTTGTCCTGTGGACACACCTTGGGTTTAACTTGACAGTGCCTGGAACTTCTCATTGACAGCCTGCAGGGCCCATAGCTGTTTCCTGAGGTTCTCTATTTCCTTCTGTAACTCTGGACAACGGGGACAGCCCTGTGTCCCGGGTAGCTGCTGCATCTCTGGATCTGGGGGTAAGGGAGCCACAGGTGGTTCCTGGTCACCGGAGGATGCCGATTTTCTAGACAGGATGCCTTTCTGACTCGGGGCTAAGGGCTGAGAGTTTGCTGGGTCCTGGAGGCTTCTGGCATTTATATCCCCACCGCTGAATTCTTGGTGCGCGCTCTGGGTAGACGCCTCTGCCCTGTGTGTTGGAAATGGAGCCTGTGGGCAGGAATCTTTGATCGAGTCAGTGTCTCCTTTGATTACTGAATGTAAGTCCCTTGTCCGCTTTGCCCCAGGTCTCTTCCCAGCGTAGAAGTTCTTGCACTGTTTGGGTCTCAAAGGCAGCAGTGAGCATTTATTGGACCTCCCAGGCAGTCCAACACCAGAGATTGGGGGGAAGGTGGCTGGTTCTGCAGGAGCTGACTTTAGTCTCTGACCCCACTGATGGAAGGCTCTCCCCAGGGAAACGGCTGAGGCATCCCACAGGGGTTTCTTCTTCTGGGTCATCTTCTTTCTAGGACTGGCCTTGGGCAGGACACCTGCCCCAGGAGCCTCTGGGTAGCTGGGCTTGGCTCCTCCTCCCTTACCCCATAAGACTCCTTGCTTTTTCTTAGAGGAAAAGGTTTCCAGTTCTTTCGAGGCCTGCCTTTCCATGCCAGAAGTGAGTCCCCGGGGAGTAGGGGTCAGCAGGGAGGAAGGCATCCGGATGAAACTCTCCCTGGCTTGGACATTTGAGTGTCTGGCTAGATCTCCAGTCTCTGCTGGGCCACCGGTCTTGGCCTGGCTCCCATCTTTGAGGCAAATGGTCACCCTCATCATCTGTACCTCATTTAATTCGTCTGACAACACAGGTTCTGAAATGGGGTGGTGGGTATCCTCACTGATCACCATCCTGCTAGTGGTACTCTTCCTCGGGGTCACCCAAACCCTGCTTTGCTCCAGTCCTTTGGGGAAGAGAGGCTTTGCCTCCTCTGAACCTGAGGCCTGCAGACCTCTCCTGCTGGAGCCTGTCTCATTCTCAGCACAAAAGCCCTCGGGGGATAGGTTTTCTTTGACTTCTGGTACCTCTAGGTGGGTCACCTGCTGCCCACTGGCCACAGTCTCTGCCTTGGGTTGGGATAGGACGTTCAAATCAACCACTTTCTCATCGACTGGAGGCTCTAGACTCTCTTCCTCCGGCACCAGCACCGGGGATTCCCGCCAGCACCCTTCGGCCCAAAGCACCACCGATGTGGGCTCCAGCACTTCCAGTTGGGACACCAATGGGAGCTCGCTGCCTTTGGGGCCAGCGAGGTTGCCTTCACCTTCGCTGCTCTCAGCAGGCCTTGGCACAAGGCTCAAGCTCTCGGTTTGGTCTCCACCGTCCACATAAATACCATCTTCTGGAACAGACGCCTCCTCAGGAGAGTTCATATTGCCAGTCCCGGAAGCGGAAGTAAAATTCCAGGAAGACCGTTGCTCGGCTCACTTATGTACCCAAGCTCAATCTCAGCATGTATGAAGACCTCCACAGGGGCCGCACTTGCTGACCTAGCACCCAGCAATTTCTGTGATGACTCATTTTCCCCTAAAAATTTTAATTACATCGCAAAAAAAATCTACTGAACTTTAATAAATTAATTTTATTACGTTTATCATGCTTGTATGCCCAGGCTTTAAGGCCTATTTTTTTCTTACAATTAATGCCACAGTAGGTTCACTCTCTCTCTCTAAGTGTGTGTGTGTGTGTGTGTTTGCTAAAATATTTATTTCAGTGGGATTGTGTAGTGTAGGATTCATGTACAGAGGAAAAAGAGTTCCAAACATTTAACCAAAAAACTTTTTTTGACATCGGATCACATATAATTCACGTTGTCCTCAAGCTTGCTTTATACCGTGACCATGATCTTGAATTCTAGATTGTTCTACCTCCATATCTCAAGTGCCACTAGGATTATAGACTGTATTATGGTGTCACATTTATGTGGGGCATCGTGCATATTAGGCATGCATGCTACCACTGAGCTACATCCCCTGCCCTAAAAAGACATCTTCAGCAGTTTTGATGCACGTTCTCAAGAAGAGTTAACTGTCCCTGCTTCTCTGGAGAGGAGTGGAGCCAAGCAATGGACCCCACATGATGGATAGCCCCTGTTTATAGAAGTGTTCGAGCAGAAGTCCGTTGGTCAGTTGCTGTCCTCTTGCTGTCAAGTTAGCATAATCACTTGCTATTTTTACTCAACTATTGTTTTCACTCTTTCCAAAGTTTCTCCTTTACATACTTGTTAAAGCCCAAACCAAGTAACAGTCATCTTCTTGAATCCTTTCCCAGTTCATTTAGAATGGATTTAAAGCCCTTCTTATGGCTCACAGGCTATTCACAAGCTAGCTGGCCTTTTCCTACCTCACGGTCAGCAGATTCCTCTGGGTCACCGGTTCTCAGCCACACTAATCTTGTTTTAAAATCTGCCAAGTCCATTCTCAACAAGACCTTTTTGCTTGTTCTTTGTTGTCTAATCGTCTTGTTTCAGAGATATACACAGCCTAGTCTTCCTTAATTTTTAGAATTTGAATCAAGTGACATTTCTTTGGCACACCTTCCTGATCATTCTGGCTAGTAGTCACCTCTCTCCCAGTTGCTGGTCCTTCTTTATCCCCCACAGTGCTTTGCTTTTCTCTATAGCAATTCTTGCTCCCACTTCTCACTTACCTTTACTGTTTTCTTAATTCAGCACTGGAATGTGGACTCTCGATTAGATTAAGAACTGCATCCACGTCAGCCACTGACACTAATTATTCTACTCAGAGTTGGTCAGCTGTATTATGGTTGACACCAAATATCATTTGAATGAATGGGATCTGGAAGACAGGTTTTTGGAAGATTATTTTTATTGTAAAGTTACTTTGGGTAATTCCAAAACAATCTCCAATTCAAGTCTACTATTTCCTTTGGATGCACAAAGTTGTAAAGTTCTAAAAGTGAAATCTGGAAGGCAGAGAAAAATTGTAGACATTGTGTTTCAATAAACAGCTGCCTCCTGGGCTGTAGTGTTTGCTTACTTAGATTTCTTTCTTGGGTAATATTTTTTTTTACAGTCTTTTGTGAGCCTAGCCCTGGACTGAACACTGAGAAAAGAATGGAAGAAGTGTTTGAAATAGATCTCTCCTTTTAATAGCACGTAGTTAAGTTGTGAAAACAAATATACAGATGTACGTGCTTTCTTCTTTCAACACACATGAATACAGACACAGGGTGACAGAGGTAGAATTCAAATGAGTATAGTCATAGAAAGACCAAAGGATTTTAAATGTTAAGAATGAACTCATTTATACTCCCTTGCCCCCAAATACATAAAGAATACCACACTATTTAACTTTTAAAACATCTTTGATTTTACTTTTCATTACTTTAAAAATTTCAAAAAGAATAACACACTTCGTTAAATACTCTAAATAAATAAATATCCAATTCTCACGACGGCCATCTATGTTTGCAACTATTCTCCTCCTCATCTTCAAGAACAGGAAACTCAGAGTCACACAGGAACTTGCCCAAGCTTACATAGTCATCAAATGGGAAAAGCACTGCTACACAGCCTGCGCTTGAAGTCATCACACTCGTAAGGAACACTTTGGATATAAGACAATTCTTTGAACATATTTAAGCAACTTCTAGATTGTTTCAAAGCTAAATCAGACTAGAAAAGATACTTGAGCTGGGAACACAATGTAGATAAAATCTTGCCATTACAAAAGCAAAAATGAAATTGTTAGGTTAAGCCTATGAAATAGAAACATCTTGAATCTTCTCAAAGTCTACTTATACTTAAAGTAACTAATTCTTTTGTCTATACAATCAGGCTTGCTCAGGTCAGGGAAGAATATTAATAGTTTTAATATGTACCCCTTTGCTGAGCTAAGTAGACACGGACAGTCCCACAATTTCCTAACCAGCGTATGAGTGTCTTTTCATCTCTAACCTTCTTCTTCACTTCATCTTTCCCCTTTCCTTTCCTTCATTCTACATAATTATAATCTAATATGTGTCATATACAGCTCCAGATCCTCATTTAATTATACTTATTTGGTAAACATTTAATATGTATTTGGAGCATAATATAATCTTGAATGGCATGAACACATTTGTATGGAGTTGAGGCACATTATCTTGAGAGGCAAACAAAATATTGTTAACGTGAATCTGACTGGCGTTCTTCAACATTGTGTTAACCTGACAATCCCAAGAATCATAAGTTTCTCAAAGGGAGTCTGACTCTAGTAGATACTACAATTATGTTAGACAAAGCTTTAAATGATCTAGATGATACTCATCATCTAGATGAATAATTTTTGTCACCACAAACCTAGAGATACTTAAGATTCCCTCATTTGAAGAATTGGCTCCACCAGATTGGTCCATGTGTGTTTCTATGGGACATTTTCTTGATTTCAAGCTGATGTAGGAGGGCCTAGTACACCATGGACAGTGTCACCCATGGTCAGGTAGGCCTGGACTGTATAAGAAGCATAGCTGAGAAAACCGGTCAACACAAGCCAGTAAGCAACGTTCGGCTTTGGTCTTTGTTTGGGCTCTTGCCTCCAGTTACCTGTTTTGAGCTTCAGCCCTGGCTTCTCTCAATGACAGGCTATAGCCTAGAAGCTGAAATAAACCCTTTCCTCTCCAAGTTGTGTTTTGAAATGACAGCTGTTATGGAAAGCAAACGAGGATGCCATCTTATGTTCTAAAGAATGGGTACTTGTTTGAGATAAATTGCTTGTTTCTGGTCTGCCCATAAATGTCACCAGATATTATTACCCACCAGCTAGGTTTGGTATTGTCATACACAGGGAACTTGCAGTTCAAAGGAGTCAGGTGTGTGCATGAAATAACCAATAGGATATTAGGTAGAAAAGAATAGAAATTAAGTAGTAAGAGGGTTAAACTACCAGAAGTTTTGAATATATGAGAAATAGTATTATTTGGTGGAAGAATACAACAGTGAAACAATTGAAAGAATAGTCATAAAATAAAACATTTCTCCAAAAAGTGAAAGTTCCCAATGTATTGATGCTATGTGTTTTAAAATTCAAGAGACATAGGGTTTCATAGTCTATTTTTTTACATAAATTTCATATGTGTGGTACATTTATTATGAAGGTTCTGGATAACTTAGCAGGTGGGTGCTGGAGCTATAATAAGGAACTTTATGTACATGGATGCTAGGTATGTGTGTTGAAATATGCTGCTGTATATAGTTTTCATGAAGGAGTCCCACGGGTGACTTTGGGAATTCAAACCTACCACGGTTTCCTCTTAGAGGGCAGGGCCTCATCATAGACAGAGCTAATACTGCTGTCATCACACTTCACATGTGTGGAAACTGAAGCACACGTGGCAGCTACACTCACCCAACACCTCCGGATATATTCTGATATAAATACAGTCCTAATGTGTTCTCGCATTCCTATCTGAGCAGTGTGTCTGTGGAGTTTCCTATAGCAAAACATAGTTTGCCTATGAGTTGTACGCCAGAGTCCACACCATCTAATAACAAACTGAAATCAAGACAATGCTCATGTTCAGCTCCATGTGAGATCACAGACTTTATATACCCTAGGCCTGCTTTATGCAGTTGCATACAATGTGATGCTGACCTAGATCAGCGACTGGCTCAGCTCACAAGTGGCCTCACAGTGACTACAATAGAAGACGTAATGATATTGGTGTCCATTAGTCAGGATGTATCATATATACCAGAACTTACTCTAGGTGGTTTAAGAACCTGAGAAATTCTTAAAAGGTATCATGCAGCTTGGAGGAGCATTAGCCCTCTGTATAGGAGAACGCATTGCGCACACACACACACACACACACACACACACACACACACACACACTGAGAGAGAGAGAGAGAGAGACAGACAGACAGACAGACAGAAAGACATACACAGAGCGAGAGCTCATAAAATGGTAGGTTTCCATATCTCTCCCAATCTCCCTTTGTCCTACCTTACGATCCTCCAAAACTTATTCCCCCACCTCAGTTCCTCCTTTTATTCATACCACCTAGACATGTATTTGAGAAGGGGATGCTGAGGTAGGTGCTTTTGGTAAAAGTTGGAAGCAGGATCAAGAAGGTGAGAGCAAAATGCATTGCATATTTGCATTAAACTCAATATATAAAATCATTTAAAAATGGTCTCATGAAGTTTATAAGACCGCTGGGACCATCAGAAAGTCAGGATTGGAAGCTATGCCATCAGAAAAGAAAAACACGATTGAGACTTTTGTTGCTGTCAGTGAGTACAGACACTTCTGTTCATCAACAACAATGCCCGGTACCCATCTCTGCTGTCTTGCAACCCTGTATGACATTCCACAGCTGTGCTGGTAGTGTGATTGGTATGGAAGCTTCTTTCCCCCTTCTCTTTAAA